CCAAAATATTATTACTCTAACATGGGATCACTATAAAAAATATTTTAAAATGATTCACAAAGTTCCTTGTGTGCTTTGTGCTAAGCCTCTGAAATCTCATGTTCCTACAGGACGAGCCAGCTTGGACTAACCACAATTGGGCGCTCAATAGCTGTAGATAGGTAGCTATTGATGACGATTAGTGCAGGTCTAGAGAATCCAGTGGGAAATAAGGGCTTTATATACTCAGAATGCTGCCCACACTCAGGAAAGTGTGAAGACAATTAGAGAAACCTTTGCTCCTAATCTTACGCTTGTGAGCTCGAATCACAACAGAAATAGAGCAAGTTGGTGGAAAAGAAAATGGCTTTGTGCCATTCAATCCAAATGCCTTTCAGCGGCTCGTGCATTTTATTTTATTTGTCATACATTTTATGCCCTGGGTTGGAAAGATATTGTTGAAGATCTTTCTAGCAAAAATGTCTGTAATGGAGAAACCAGAGCAGGTCGTGGTTCTCAGAGCTCCGAGAACCAAATCTGAACATATGTTATTTCAGAGCCTTTCTGAGAGTGGTCACATTTGCAGACCTAGAGAGTGGTTGTTAAATCTGCATAGTGTACTAGCATTCATTAAGAATGAGTCTCAGATAAACCGAGGATTGCCTACCCTTAATTAGAAGTAACCCTTAACACACAGGCTTGTAAATGTATTATGCCATATGCATTAATGTGAGAATTTAACATGAAAATATACTTCTGTTTGGATTGGCTCAAGAATCTGATTGCTGTAATTTCATTATAACAAGAGATGTGATGGTTAGTGTGATCATGAACCTCAGATTCTGCAGTCACCTAGGAGACACCGCTCTAGAAATACTTGTGTGGATCACTTAGATGAAGTTAGCTTCAGGCACACCTGTAAGGGATTATTTTAAGAAGTAATTGAGGTACTACAGCCTACCTTAAAGGAGTGTAGCATCACTCCCTGTGGCCCAGATCCTGGACTGCATACAAGGAGAAATCTGAACATGGGCATTCACTGTTTCCTGTTTTCTGGCAGCAGAAGTCATGTGGCCATATTTTTCAGGTTCCTGCTGACAGAACTCCCTACTGTGGTGGCCTCTATCACTGAACCGTGATCCAAAATGACCTTTCTCTTTTAAGTTGCTTTCTTCGGAGTATTTTATCAGAGTCATGGGAAAAGTAGCTAGGGCAAGTAGCATTGGGACTTGAGGACCAACATGTTAATGAGGTAGAGCACCTCCTCAGGGCTTTATCTGAGACCTGTTTTGTAGCACATGCCTTTCAGATGGAGGAAGGAGGTTGTTAAAGGGAACCAGAGGATGTGAATCTCCACGTCCCCTCCATGTTCCTATGAAAAGTATAGCAAAGCTATCAAGTTACTTAGATAGCCTGGTTAGTTGGTCTCAAATTGTAGTCCTTTCCTCGGCCATTTTTCATTTATACCTGGCATCTAGTCATGAAATAAATATAAATACATATGAAAGGGAGTTCAGTAATTTGAAATGGAAGTGATTGCTGGCCAATAGTTTTTCATACATCCACATGCCCCTATCATTCTCTCAGGACAATAATGTATTATTTGATGATTTTTTCAAAAGTTGGGGTAAGTTGTACCCCTTATACCAGTCCTATTTACATTTTTATAAGCTTTTTAATGCTTAAAGAAGTATATTGTTTTTCATGCCCGGAAAAAAAAAATCATCATTTTTACATACAATCTAATTCACAATTCTAAACATTTCACTGCTAAATGTCTGCTCTCACCCCTCCGAACTGATTTGAATTCTAGGTTTTAAAAACCACTTCCTGTGTTGCGTGTGCCGGGTCTTCCTGGCAGCCTGCGAACCATTGATCAGAATGTGTTTAGATTTGACTGCTTTCCCAATTATGAATTGTAATTACACAGGATGTAAACACAAGTTTAAGTGGTTGTAAAACTGCTCCAATATTTGTTACCCCATTAATTTAATAAACTGAATATTTAGCAGGGTCTTCATAGTTACACATCCGGGGACAGAAACGTTTTTCACAAACCTCCTCGTCACAATAGATTGGAAGCAACCCCCATGCCCACCCCCAACACCTCCCTAAAGGCAGAGAAAAAGAGACACACCCCCAACACCTCCCTAAAGGCAGAGAAGAAGAGACCCACCCCCAACACCTTCCTAAAGGCAGAGAAAAAGAGATGGAGAGCTATGACACTAATCTCTTTGCCTCCAGGTGTTTATCACACCAAGAAAGCCAAAACAATTACTCAGGGCTTCATGGGGGTAAGTAGCAGACTGCTATTTCCTTGGAGGAAGCTTTGTTACAGTGTTTCTCATAAGCGGGAAGAGGGTTCCTCAACAGGAGCGGCCCTCCTCAGGAGTGCAAACACAAACAAGCAAAATTGACTGCCTGGGGGCAAAAAAAGTCACCTGTTCTTAACAGGACTTCAGGTGTGTGCTTTACTGTGGTCGACTGTGTAGCCGACCAGCTCTACCATGGTGCTATCTGCATCCACCACCGTACAACCCTGGTACATGATGTCTTTGAGGGACTTGGCACACTCTGGTCACGCAGGAATTTCTACCTCTATTCGCAATCATTATATTTTACTCTTCCCAGTGAGTTTTTTTTTTTTGTCAATGTGGAATTTCTAATTCTAATTAAATAATAGTTCAAATGATATCCCTGGGAAAGAAATGGGACTATATTGGGAAAATGGGGGTTATTTTTACTTACAACTCTCTACCCTTTGCCTCAGTCAGCTTAGCTAAATCTTTAGTGTTAACATAATTGGGTTTTGTAGAATAATGACCCATTGTGGCAGGTGTCATTTTTGATTAATAAAAACATCACGTAAGTGTTAAATGCTACTACTCCATTGTAATTCATCAATCAATTAAAGACAGCTTTTGGCTGATGGGAGCAGACTGAGGGGGAGCAGGATCCCAGCAGTTACTAAAGGTCCAAATACTTCAAAACAACCTTCAAATTTATTTCTGTCTCCTTACGGAATTATTTCAGAGCTGCTTCTAAAAATGTAGTAGGGACACTATTTTTCTTCTGTAGCAGAGCTTAAGTAACTGTGTATTCGTCAATATTAACTTGTTTTCCACAGACGTTATTTTTCCCATTTCTAGCTATGTGCAGTAGTGTGACTTGTGCATGGGGCATGGCTGTGTCTACTCTCCTTGGTTCTGCCGAAGCATAATGAAGATGGTCGTCTGGGAGTCACACCACACCAGGTGCTGAGAAGAGCAGAAGGTCTCTGTTCTGGAGACGGTTTGGGGAAAATTCAAAATACGAAAGTTGACATGCTTATTGTTTTTTTTTTTTTTGACATCATCTTGTGTTTGTGTGTAGTTTGTGTGAGGATTTGTTGGCATCCATTTTTAGGTAACTGAAGGGCAAGAAAAGCTCCTTGTAATGTGAGAAAGTCAAAATATAGTTTAAATAGAAACACTGTGTGGAAATACTCAGAACTTACAGAATGTTTGTGTCAAGTGACTGATGTTTCTTAAAAATAACAGTGAGAGACTGGAGAGGTGGCTCAGTGGTTAAAAGCACTGGTTGCTTTTGCAGAGGACCTGGATTCAATTCCCAGCATCCACATGGTTGCTCACGACTATTTCTAACTCTAGTTCTAGGGATCTGACTCCCTCTCTTTACCTCTGGGGACACTGGTGTAAGCAAAACGTCCATACACAACAAACAAACAAATAAATAATACTAATTACAATGCAGTGCTGACTGCTGGAGACTAAAAGAATTGTTCAGAGGTAGGCTTTTGTGTCAAAATCCCTGGGCTGTTGCTTATTTGCTTTTTATTCTTATACATAATAATGACTCCAGTCTGGTTTCTTTTGGAAAGCCCTCCTTTTTAAACCTGGTTGCTCATGTTCTTCCAACTCATGGCTAAGTGAATATCATACCCTCCTTATCAATAAGGGCTGGGGCGTCAACATGGTAATGAAAGAACTCGCTTAGATTTCTGAAGCTGAAATTTAAAATCATACCAGATGTTAAATACACACAGGCAGTGTCATATGCTATGAAAATATTGTGCATCCCCAAGCTCCCCAGTGTCCTGCTCGATCCTGTGAGCACAGAAGCTGTAAAACAGATATTTTTCCTGGAAACAAACAATAGGTGAAGTACAACACAGCATTTGTTGCACATAACACCCCACTTTAGAATATGGGGTTTTTATACTCCTATATTGTTGGATTATTCATGGTAGGGGTGAAGGAGATGAAAGAAAAGACTTAATTTCAGGGTTTCTATTTAAATATTCTTAGACCCCAGTGAAGTCCCAGGCCCAGGAAAGGGAGAATGGGACTCTTAGACCCCAGTGAAGTCCCAGGCCTAGGAAAGGGCAAATGGGACACACCTGAAACTACTCAACTGTGTGGAGTCTGTGCCCTCTTCCAACCCGGTGCTCAAGGCTGTGCACTTGCCTTTTGTGCTGCCTCCCTTTAGGAGCCCACACCGTCCTGTGGAGACATCTGATTAGACTGGTTAACTGGGGCAATGCAGCGGAGAGTGAACATGGTCCTTAGGCTGGGTGACAACTCATTCTCACTTTATGGTAAGTAAGACAGGTTAGTTCTGTGCACAGCAACGCTCTCTACATAGCTGTCGTTTGGGCTCCCCCACCCCTTTTGAGTTTTATACACATCAATAGTGGGAAGAGTGATGTTCCTACTTTGTAGGACAGCTGACAGATGAGCCCATGGAATAGCTGGTTAGCTCGCTTTAAGGAACCTTCCAGGACACAAAGCAAGAACTTGATCCTCAAATGCGGGCACCACTTAACGCACGCTGTTTGTCTCAGCCCTGTCTCAGGACAGAGCTTTACAACTTGAAAGACTTCTAGAAAGCAGCAGAGGAAATCCCATCGGCTGACATTTCTTCAAGAGAATTGGCTTTTTAAAGAACTCGAGAATCCAGATTAAAAAGCACATTTCATTTACGTTTGTTATATACCTAAAAGTGAATTTTTATTAAAAGTAGATCACATCACTCCAAGAAATTCATAGAACTATATCTAAATACACTGAATGCAAGATATTCCTCATCAATTTAGATTCTTATAGCCTCATAAAGATAAAATGCAGATGAGTCTATTTAAATCAGGCCTTCATTAAATTTCAGAATGAGCTTTTGGAATCCCATGGATTGAATTGTGCATTGTCTGATTCCTGATCATTGTGGCAAGGTTATGAGCGCATAATTATAAAGTGCACCGTTGCCAGGAATAACACAGTCTGCCTTTGGTTTGTGCTAATAAACTATACGACAACTTAAACTCCGTCTTAACATAAGAAGTCCGCCTCATTAGAAGTAATCTCACACTCTGTAGGCTATCAGCGTTTTCATGTGTATTCTTTGGTGAGCTGGGAATATAATTTTCTATTTATGCTTCTAATGTAAATCTGCCATTTCGGGTTGGCCACTCTGGCACGAAGCCAAAGCGCTAATTTATTTTCATCTTTCCCTATTTCTTATATCAAAAGAGGCTGTTGGTTTGAATAACAAACATTCAATCGACTTGGACGTGGGGTGGCAGGCAGAACAGGCATTACCCGCTTACCTTTTATTGCCTTCTTTGAATTGGCTTTTCTGGGAACAAAACCAATAAGACATGCTGTTCCTTCATCTAGTTTTGACTCGGGTTATTTATCAGAAGGCATTTCCTCCCCCTCTGCTCAGCAAAGACTGGCAGCAGGGTGAAGAATTCAGCCTGGAACGAGGCTTCTGACCTAATACTGTCGTAGGTTATTGTCCCACCAAGTCACGTAGGACTTCATTGTCCCTAAGCTTCTGTCTTGGCCTCATAATTGTTTCTGATTCTGAGAGATGCTGCTGCTGACACATTTGTCACCTGTGGGGTGGCAGTATCCTGGGACAGAACATGTGCTGTTCCAGCCCCTCCAAAACTTTGCAGTGTTTCTCCCCCCTCCCCGGCTCCCTTTGCTGTCTTGTACGGTAATTGGCCTAATAAAAGGCAGAAACAAGAATTTATTACACCTTGGGCAGTACTTGAAACAGACTTTATTCTCAGGAACAGCAGTTATGTCTACTTGCTGCTGTATATTTTGATATTTCATTTAAATACTTAGAATATATTCAAAGTCAAATTGCTAATCACTCAATTTCCCTGCTGCTGTCCTGGTTCCCCAGGTGGCCTCTTATGATACTCCATGTAAACACTGTATTTGGAAGGATACATAGATCAGCATCCCTAGAGTCACATGATCACCATAAATCTGTGAAAATAGCATGACTTAAAAATAAAAGTCTCTTAGTACTCTGCCAACAGGCTTTGGCATAATCTTGGCAATCACTTAGCTATTTCTTTCTCTCTGTTCTTGCGGTTAGGATTTTTCCCAGGTGGAAAATAGTCTCGTACTTTGCAGACGTTGTCCAAGCTAGTGACTATCAATCCATCTTCCTGGGCTACTGACGTCGTCAGCTGACTGTGTTCGGTCCACACAAAATCAGTGAAGTGACGGTGAAACTCTTGGAGGGTTGCTCCTTTCCTCTTAAGAAACGGCAATGCAAATTCCTGACGTCATGTATGCAGGAACTTTTATTTTTTGAATCCTCCAGCGTTAAAGCAACAAGAAAACATGTAGAATGTCCTTTGGTGGAATCTTATTACACTTGCTATATATGTAAACTGATATTCTTTGATGCCAGCACGCTCGTTGCCCATACAGAGAAATCTCTGCACAACGAAACAAAACCAAAGCAAAGAGAGGACAAAAATCAAACGTCAGTCTTTGCTGATTCGAATTAGATACATTAACAGATTGTCTGGTAACGTAAATCGGCAATAATACAAAAAATCTACATATTACAGTATTTCAAGAAAAATAACTTCATTTTAATACAAAAGGATAGATACACTTTCTCTTTCCTCTAGCCACTCTTGGGAAGTGGGTGTGAGCTGGCACTGGGCTCTCAGTGCTGCTAAAATATACAGGGGTATGACTGGCTTGCGCTTTGGAAGGGGTCTGTTACACATGTATATCACTAACATCAGACAAAGAAATCTTTCAACCAACAAGGGTTACAGAGCAACTTTCACTAAAGCACAGGTTGGAAGGGATGGGGGCAGGGAGCCGAAGCAGGCCAATATGGCAGCTTGTAACAGATTTCCTTATACCCACAATGCACCTGACAGCAAAGAATGCTTCTATTTGGTTGGTCCACACACTGGGCAGAGCGGTACTAGGGTGCACCACGGTAGAGTAGCGAAATTTTTTTTTCCTTTTAGGTTGTTTGATCAGTTTGTTTTTGTCTTTCCTTTTGGGGGCGCTCTCGCAACCTTTCCAGTCCGCAATGGGCTCTGCAGCTGGCAATGAGATTTGCAGTGATAATAACAACAGCTGCCAATTCCTCTGGAGTCAGTGATGAACAGTTTCGACTCCGACAGATGTGCTGTCCGGGTCTGAGAGATATGGCTTAGTTCAGTTATGCCCTCTTCGTTTGTACACTGTGTTGGAGTGGGTGTGCGTGTTTTCTATGTTAGTAGCAATCGCTTGGGTTGTGTCTGCGTCCCCACAGCACAGGCCTGTCGGAGGGCTGGTGTGACCCCTAGAACACCAGGGGACTGGCTGTCCCCAGCAGCACGGTCAGCAGCAGCAGTGCTGGGGAGCCCCGTGGGGGTGCTCCCTGGCCGGAGTCGGAGCCACAGCTGCCCGCCTCTTCGCAACGCAGCTTCTCACAAAGGATGCCGGTATAGGCGGCTGGGCACAGGCAGCGCACATTGTTGTGGCAGGTCCCTCCATTCTGGCAGTGTAGGAGCTCATTGTCGCAGACATTAGCTGCAGAACGAGGGGAGGGATGGGGAGGGGAGGAGAAGCAGAATCAATTTAAGTTCATCTGGAACATCATGTTTTCAGCTTTAAAAAAAGAAATTCTCTATCGATCTTGTGTTCCCCCTTCCCTCCACAAACTAAGCAAGTGACTCCAATTTCCAAACAAATGTAGTTGACTGCCTTTGCTTTCATCATATTAGGCCTTTTCATATAGTTTTTTTTTCTTTCCTTTTTCTTTCTTTTTTCTTTTGCCCTGCAACCTTTGCTATTTTCCAGTTCAGGCTATCGAATATTAAGTAATGCAATGCTTCTGGTTTGGAAATTCTTAGGTACCCGGGACCTTTTGTGACCTCCTAGTTTTTAAAGGACAAGTGCCTGATACAAGAATGGCGAACCTTGAAGTCAGATGAGTGCGCTTTAAAATGCAAAGCGGTGTGGCTAAAATGACCAACAACCTCTCAGGCCAGGACATTCGTCGTCCCTGCACCAATTCCAGCCTTGTTGTGCATGCAAAGAGGCCACAGGGAAGCAGGGGAATGCAGGTTTGGGATGTGACGAAAGTAGCATGCTCCAGGCAGGCGACAGCCAGATGGGAAGAGGGAGAGCTTGTTTCGTGGGAGGCATGTGAGGAAGAGCAGTCACATTTGTCCCTGACAGCCCATTAAGGTTTTTATTGCTTTGTAAATATGGGAAGCGAAGCCCAAGGTTACCTTGATTTGGGAACAGTAATAAATGCAGCGGTGAAACCCTGATTACCAAAATTTCATTACATCCATCAAGGTATAGAATCAGGCTGGAAAATCAAGCCGCAGCTCCTGGCTAGAATTCATTTGCAGCTTCCTTCACAGAACTTTCACCTCTAATAATTTGTCATATCTTCCAAATTCCCGTTATCCTCATTAATTCAATGTCTTGTATTCTCTTAGATAATCAAGGTTTCACTGATTTAGCAGAATGTTAAATAGAACCCAGGGAAATTAATACAACAACGAAGAAGAGGAGAGCCAAGAAGGAGTGCTATCCAGCAACGTTTGCTGCTTAAGCACTTAGCACACAGACCACTCTGGACGGAGGGCGGGGCACAGAGCAGAAAAAGGAGCTTTTTGTAAATTATAACAGATTTCATTCAAAGAAAGGGTCATGGCCCGATTTCTCCAAGGATGTCACATGGACACACACACCCACACACACATCCCACAATGGTGCTATTAGAGACAAAACATTTTTATCAAATAATTCCCACCTTCCAAGTAGTAACTCAGTAGTAGATAGCATTTGGTTTGTCCATTAATCATACTTAATACTCATGTGGTCTTCAAGAGGGGCTCTGTCCACACACATCAATGTATGAATGTTCTTGTGTACGAATGGGTTGAGGAAAGGTGGCACTGGGCATCCACGGGGCTAATGATAAAGTGCCTAAGCAGGGTTCAGTGTGACTACATTCCTCAACATTCCGGGGAGACACAGAAGACAGGTGCATAAAACATTGGTATAATTAACACTAATAAATCATTCATGTTTGAAATGCTGGTACACAAGGCAGTGTCACATGGATTGTAAGCATCAAGCATACAAGCTGCCTCTCCGTGGGTGGCTTAGATTGAACCCAAATTGCGGTATTTTGTCAGTCATTTCTTGGCATGTCAAGATCTGTACCTGTGAAGCCTGGCTCCCAAGCTCAGGGTGATTAGATTCTTGGACAAAGCAGATAAAAGTCCTGGTATATTTGTTGTTGTTGTTGTTGCTGTTGTTGTTGTTGTTGTTGATTGGGAAAGAATACAGGGCATTGGGGGTTTCATTTTGCTTACACTTCAAGAAATATCTGTTTAATTGCAGCAACATGGAATAAACAGATCCAAGTAGCCATTTCTATTTAAAGTTAAAGATTCTGACCATTTCTTGTTCTAGGAGGCAGATTGCAGAATGGGATATTTCCTTTCATTTGGGCACTAGACATAGGGAAATATCTGTTCCATCAATATCGATAATTGCTTGCCTTGAATAATTGAGAAGAAATCAATAGTTAATTAAATATCACTCCCCTCTTTTTTGCGAAGCTATTTTTCTTCCTCTCGGACTTGAATGCAAAGCAGCTGTTGAGCAGACGTTTCTTTTTTCTAAGAAGCCAGTGATTAAGTTAAAATTCAATACCTTCCCTACATGTAAATAATCTGCTAGTTGTTTTGGATGGTTGTGAAAAAATTTAATAAATACACAAGAAACAGATGTAGCCCAGGATTAGTCATCTCATGGACTGGGGGGACATATCTTGGGTAATATATAAACAGAAAAAAAATGGAACTTAGCATACATTTTATTATTTTAGAATTTAAGATAAATTACATTACATTTGGGTTCTTGATGGTGCCCATCCTTTTTTTTTTAAAATATTTATTTATTTATTATGTGTACAATATTCTGCCTGTGTGTATGCCTGCAGGCCAGAAGAGGGCTCCAGACCCCTTTACAGATGGTTGTGAGCCACCATGTGGTTGCTGGGAATTGAACTCAGGACCTTTGGAAGAACAGGAAATGCTCTTAACCTCTGAGCCATCTCTCCAGCCCCGGTGCCCATCCTTTTAAAATTCAACAAGAACAGGATTTTATCGTGCATACAATACCATCTAATGGCTGGGATCACATGCTAGAAATACACTTATATCTAACTGCAGTTCTTACCTGATGCTTATAACCTCATGCTCCATCTTCATGTCATTTAGTACCAAAATTCTGTTGGTTAATGAACAAACTAGATGGTTAAGTATCAAGGAGCTCTCCTTCAGCATGTAAGACCTTGTACTAAACACCATGGAGACAATCAAAACAAACACAAAGCATAGTCTCTGTTCTCATAGAGCTCTGATTTACTTAAGGAGATAGAATACATTCTAGAAGGGATCTAGCACTGATTTCATTAAAACGTCCCTTTTCCTTTCATCCACCTCAGTCATTTGCCCGTGACTAGCATCCTGCTATGTTTTGTGGCTACCACTCTAACTGCCGTAAAGGAGTTCACAATTTGGTGGAAAATCAACAAACACAACCAGAGACAGTCAGACAAGGTAGGAAAAGACCACAAAGCAAGTATTTGAGAAATGTTAGGTGAACACAAATGATGGTGTCTATGTTTTGGAGAATAGAAAAAAATATAGAAAGAGTCGTATCTGAACAACAGTGCACACAAGGCAGATACAGGCCAAAGAGTGCCATGGATGGGGAGACTGTGTGCCTGAAAGCAAAGAGATGATAAGGGGCTACCTAGGTTGTTCAGAAATTATCTTTGAACACTGATACTCCTCTCTGGTTTTTACAACAAAGTCCCTACAGGTTGTGCTGGATTCCACCAACAATGGACCACAGAGGGAACAGAGAAGGAAAGCAGGGATGTGTGAAGCTCCTTCACTCTTCCTTCTTAATGACTTGCCTGCCTAGCAATGGTTCTTTATCTCAGCTTTCCTTTGCTCATCTTTACTCAGAACCAGTTTTTCACTGAGCCACGTAGAATTCTGCACCATCCTGGTAGTGTATCTCCAAGGCACTGCCACAGGTGTAGGCAGACATAATCCCTCTTCAGAGATGGAGTTCTAAGGTTTATGATGTCTCTCATCTACCCTATTAGTTTCTGGAAAGCTCCTCTTCTTTATTCTAATTTCTCGACCTCTGAGTGATAGTTACTCCTACATGAGCACTTATTGGCCAAGAGTTACGTTGGTGCCGTATGCTGATGTTTAGTCTTCAAATATTTACTATCCCATTTCCTTCAATAATGTTTCTCTGTTGAAATACCAAGAAAAGCTTGTTTTCTGGCAGGAACTTGACTGAGAGACACAGACATTATTTCAGGGAATGATGGGTGGGCTGCGCTTGGAAGGCTGGTTGCATATAGGACAAAGGGGGTTAGAATACCAGGGGCATTCATGCTGTGGTTATTTTATGTATACTCTGCAGAGTTTGGGAAACGGGCAATGGGAAGCTGTCAAAGGTAAATGAGTCATCTGGAGTTTTGAAGGGAAAAAAAAGATGAATTTAGACAAAGATAGATTGGTGGAAAGGAGACCAGATACTCAAAAGAATGGGCTGGGGCTAGGTTGGAGCAAAGGAGAGAAGGAAGTGCACACCTGAAGGTAGTTTGCATAACAAACATGAGTGATTTTAAGGTCACATTTGAGTATGTGGATAAGTCACAAAGAAACTTATTAAGGAAAGGCACTAAGAAAGGAATTTAGTTAGAGAAGTCAATGAATATTTTTTAGACTTATTGGCTGTGAGGAGTCTGTAAAGTCTTCTAAAATGTTTTATATAATACTTGGGAAAGCTACATTGAGGTCCAGGAGGTAGTTCGTTCTGGAGATGGAGGTGGCGAACCTGGGTGGTAGAGGTCATTGTCATCCAACACAAAGTACACAATCTCATAGTGGTAGAATATCAACCCTGTCCAAATGAAGAGTGCCCAGAGTCTCAGCCACATGCAGAGAAAGCAACACCATGAAGAATGGTTGGAAGAAAAATGTCCAAAAAATGGAGTGGCCACATGATTACGAAAATAATCATAAAAATACTTTCCTGTTATGAAAGACCATCTATGAATTGGCATATAAAGTGGAAGATTAGGAGAAGAAGGGCACTATGAATTGGGCAGAGCAAATGTGTAATGTTAAGTCTCAAGGGGGTGAATCAGTCAGAAAGGGCTTTGGAATGATTAGAAAAAACACTGGAAACTGAAGGAAATAACAGTTTGTGGAAGTCCTTGAACATTAATTAATAGGAGTGGTTACAATAATTTGGAGATTATGATTCCCAGGATATTAGGATATTAGGCAGTGGCTAGAAATCATTTATTTATTTATATTTCTGATGGTCATGATTGCGTCAAGGTTGCATGCCATGGATGGGTAGTGGTCAAGGATGCTGCTCAATGTCCTATAGTTGCTGGCACAACTTCTCTCTCACCAACAAGGAATTTTTCCTCAACCAATGTAAAGAGTAAAATAATGATGTTCTGG